TTTTTAGGAGACTAACACACTTGAAGTACCTATGATCAAAGAACTATTGAGTAGACCTATTTATAGTAAGCTAGAGTCGGTTAGATGAAGCTTAATGTTGTGCCACCTAATTAGTCTATAGGTTCCTAGACTCTCAAATAGCCTTTTGTGTTGGCTTTGTAGAGTGCTTAGTGAGCACTCTCCTATCAAGTTTATATATATAGGAATAACTATCATTCTTACACCTCATGCTTTAATTGGTTTTGAGGACACTACATTGCAACACGTCAGTCTTCAACAATGCTTAGTAAGCATAAATGTCTTTCTAACAGTTTTTGTAAAGTAAGTATATATATATCTATATATAATAATAATAATAAATAATGCTGAAATGAATTGAAATAATTAAAGCCATGCAATAACATTTGATAGGCTATACTAGTTAACTTCACGTAACTTGCCATACAATTTATATTTATAGATATATTATATGGTTTTGAAGACTAATAATTGTAAATATTTAATTTTATGAAATATTAATATATGTATTTCAAAATATGGGGTTTCACAATCTATCCTCCTTAAAAGAAATTTCGTCCTCGAAATTTTGAAACTTACCCGAATCAAAGAAAAAGTTCTGGATATTTTTCTTTCATCTCAGGTTCTAATTCCCATGTAGCCTCTTCTGTATTTCCGTGTAACCAAAGGATTTTGACTGGTGGAATAGTCTTCGTTCGCAACACTTGTTCTTTATGATCTAATATCCGTATTGGTCTTTCCTCAAAAGATAATTGCTCATCTATGTTTAGTTCTCCCCAATCTAAAATATGTGCTGGATCCGGTTCATATTTTCGAAGCATAGAGACATGAAATACATTATGAACATTTAAAAATTAAGGTGGTAGTGCTAACTTGTAAGCTACTTCCCCAATCCGTTGTAGTACTTCAAAAGGTCCAATGAATCGTGGGGCTAATTTTCCAGACTTTCCAAATCTTTTAACTCCCTTTCGAGGTGAAATTTTAAGGAATACATGATCCCCAATATTAAACTTCAATGGCCTTGTTCTTCTATCAGCATAATTCTTTTGCCGACAC